TGACCTCTTTTAATACCCTTGTGATTTTAGTCCACAGATTTATCTCATTTAGGCATACCCAAAAACACTTCCCTGTTTTAATACTGCTTGTAGCTAGTTCTTGGATATCTGCACAAGGGGCATGACACCAATTTCCACAAAAATGACAATTTATGCATGTGGAAGCCCGTTTGTTTGACTGACCACAGACTACACAAAGCTTCATAATGATTTGAATGGTTGATTTACTGCAATTCTACTAGCAACCTCTTGAATATTCTATTAATAACCTTCTTAAATGAAGCTCTAGCTATTTGTATTTCTGTTTCTAACTGTTTTTGTATATTGGACAGCTTACCGTGCACGTTCCTGATATACATGTATATTTAATGTTTGTGTTTATTAGGGCGCCTACAACCCCATCCGTTTACAGTCTGCTTTATTGTCCAACGAAACCGTTTGAAACCAGTCCAGGGTTTGGACCAGTCAAGGGTTCGGACCAGTCAAGGGTTCGGACCAGTCAAGGGTTCGGACCAGTCGATCTGATCTGATCAGTGGGTCGCTTATTTAAAACATACTGGTCGGTGATTTGGGCTAACACATGAAGGATCTACTGGAAATTATCTACCCGAGTAATATGTGATTTGATTGATACAAAAGTATAACTTGCGTGTTGAAGAGCCGGTGACTGCTGGCAGCTCCTACAATGACGAACGGTCGACCTCAACCCTTGTTTATCAATCGCTGTATCTAGCTTTTCTATTTTGTTTTTTCCGTCTCCACCACAATAAATGCTATATTATCACTATAGTTGACTGGTGCAAATTTTGGAGGAAGGACGCTTTTTCTGTAGTACTATTTGCTTCTCGTTGTGTATATTGTGACCGCTGGTAACTACAGGTTATATGAAATTCACAGTATACGTCTGGTATTTCAAGAAAAAGAAACTAATGAAAGTCACTCCACTCCACTAAGTACCATTATAATACTGGTTAGTTGCTACTACAACACTGTATTCTGCTATTCACTGGTATCACTAGATTATATGCGAGTACACTAGCAGGCCAGGAAGATTATTAAAACAGCTGACCTGTGGTAAGTTTCTGGCGACTTCTGGCACCTGCCTCTATAGGCTTATCACTTCATTTACAAATTCACCTGTTTTCAACTGACACTTTAGCCTTTATCATCAATATACTAGGGAGCCACTGTAGTATACACTATACACTATGTATACTCAATGTTTTCAGGGAGACTTTCTTTCCTCTGACACAAAGTTCAATTATTATTATTTTTTCACACGGAACACAGGCCTATGATTCCCCTCTGGCAGTAAACTCTGCTAGGTAGTGCACACTAATTTTCCTTTTTTGACTCAATATATAATGTTTTCCACCCAAGATTGGTTCCAGGCGCTAGAGGGATGTATCGTATAGGATTGATGACACGAATTAAAGTTCTAGCACGTAAGAGCGACCGTGAAAACACGAGAAAACCCAGAGCACAATCTCAATTTGTCGGTCTGGGGCTCCGCGCATACATGTCTGAACCTCAATTATGTTGTGATCTGAGTATATTGTTTTTGATATGGTGACATTTCTTATCAGATCATCATTGTTAGTGAAGATGAGGTCTAGTGTATTCTCCAGTCTAGTAGGCTCTATTATTTGCTGGTTTAAATTGAATTTTGTGCAGAGATTTAAAAGCTCGCGTGAGTGTGAGTTTTCATCAGAGTTGCCTCCTGGTGTTATTGCTGCAACAATATTATTTGCTATATTCCTCCATTTTAGGTGCCTTAAGTTGAAATCCCCCAGGAGCAAGATGTTGGGTGCAGGAGCTGGAAGATTTTCCAAACAGTGGTCAATTTTTAACAGCTGTTCCTGGAATTGCTGGGATGTTGCATCCAGAGGCTTGTAGACTACCGCAATGACTAGGTTTTGGTTCTCGACCTTTACTGCTAAAACTTCCACTACATCATTTGAGGCATTTAGCAGTTCTGTGCAAACAAGTGACTCTGCAATGTACAGGCCAACCTCCCCCTTTTGCCTGTTCGCTCTGTCACATCTGTATAGGTTGTAACCTGGGATCCATATTTCGTTGTCCAAGTGATCCTTTATGTGGGTCTCAGTGAAAGCCGCGAACTTTGCCTTTGCCTCTGCAAGCAGTCCACGTATGAAAGGTATTTTGTTGTTTGTTGCTAGCTTTAGACCCTGTATATTTGCAAAGAAGAATGTTATCGGACTGGTGGTATTGTTGGTACTGGGGGGGGATTTTTTTTCCGGCATTAGTATCTGTATCTGTTGGTTTGGAGTGGAGGCCATCGACTGTGGTTCCACTCCAGGAATGACTGGATTTGGTGTACGATTTCTGCCATTTCCTGCCAGTTTTTTTTCCTTCCTGGCATCCACTTGTGGCCAGTGTTTACAAGCCAGCCAGCCACCGCGGTCGTATCCAAACATACAATTGGAACATTTCATATTATCACAGTGTTTTTAGTGATTGCACCTGCAAAATAAGTTGCCATGGGTCCCAAGAAAGCTTCTAGTGCCAACCCTACAGCAAAAAGGGTGAGAATTTCTATGGATATGAAGAAAGAGATTATTGCTAAGTATGAAAATGGAGTGCATGTCTCCGACCTGGCCAGGTTGTACACAAAACCCCAATCAACCATCGCTACTATTGTGGCCAAGAAAACGGCAATCAAGGAAGCTGTTCTTGCCAAAGGTGCAACTATGTTTTCGAAACTGAGATTGCAAGTGATAGAAGATGTTGAGAGACTGTTATTGGTGTGGATAAATGAAAAACAGATAGCAGGAGATAGCATCTCTCAAGCAATCATATGAGAAAAAGGCTAGGAAGTTGCATGACGATTTAATTAGAAAAATGCCTGCAACTAGTGGTGATGTGAGTGAATTTAAGGCCAGCAAAGGTTGGTGTTGAGAGATTTAAGAATCGCAGTGGCATACATAGTGTGATAAGGCATGGTGAGGCTGCCAGTTCGGACCAAAAAGCAGCTGAAAAATGCGTGCAGGAATTCAAGGAGTACATAGACAGTGAAGAATTGAAACCTGAACAAGTGTTTAATTGTGACACTGACAATGTTGTGAAACACTTTAGGAATGTCATAAAGGAACGGGAGGTACAGGCCTCTATGGACAGATATGTTGTGCGAAAGACGTCCAGTGACTCTCAAGCTGGTCCTAGTGGCATTAAAAGAAGAAGGGAAGTAACCCCGGAAAAGGACTTGACACCTCAATTCCTAATGGAAGGGGATTCCCCTTCTAAACACTAACACCATCCACACTCTCCCCTCCTCCCATCCCATCAATCATCACCAGATCTTCAGTAAAGGTAAGTGTCATGTAATTGTACATGTCTTCTTCAGTTTGTGTGTATTAAAATTAATATTTCATGTGGTAAAAATTTTTTTTTCAATACTTTTGGGTGTCTTGCACGGATTAATTTGATTTCCATTATTTCTTATGGGGAAAATTAACTCGACTAACGATAATTTAGATTAATGATGAGCTCTCAGGAATGGATTAATATCGTTGGTCGAGGGTCCACTGTATTCCTGTCAACAATGAATATGGAAACAAAAATAATCGACCCATCGACTGCTCATGTTTGGAAAAACTCGCACGTGGATGCGCTCGCAAGTAGAGGTTCCACTGTATATTTATATTTAATCTTTAAAAAAATATTTTTTGTTAATACTTTTGGCTGTCTGAAACGGATTAATTGGATTTCCATTATTTCTAATGGGGAATATTAATTCGGCTAAAGGCTAAATCGGCTAAAGGCTAGCTCTCTGGAATGGATTAAAGGTGTTACCCGAGGGTCCACTGTACATGTACATGGTATACAGGCCTAGCTGACATCAATGACATATTACCATATATTACTATATATATTACTATATTACTATATGGGTGTTAGTTGACTGGTGTGGGTCGCATCCTGGGACAAAACTGACCTAATATGACTGAAATGCTCAGCATAACAAGGGGCTTGTTATGCTGAGCATTTCAGGCATATTAGGTCAGTTTTGTCCCAGGATGCGACCCACACCAGTCAACTAACACCCAGGTACCCATTTTACACTGATAGGTGAACAAGGACAGCAGGTGTCTTATGGAAACATGTCCCTAACATTTTCCAGCTGTACCAAAGGAGATCAGAACTCCAGACCTCAATGTGTGAGCTGAGTGCGCTAGCGATCGAGCTAGACACTTGAAAGATAGACTCAGTTTTATCACCAAATAATTATCATACATGTTGCTATCAAATATCATAATGAGTTCTGGTCACACTGTCCACTGACAACATTTCCTCCATGTGGCTTCATGTTTGTTAAAAATTAATTTAGCTTTTGAGAGAAAACTTTTAGCTATTGAACACTCAAATAATTTCTAAATAGTATGAAGTCTCAGGTGTTTTACTAAACTAGATTTTTCTGAAAAATGTTTTAAACAATCTGAACATTGATATGGCTTCTCCCCAGTATGAATTCTCATGTGTTTTACTAAATTAGATTTATATGAAAATTTTTTTAGACACTCTAAACATTGATGTGGTTTCTCTCCAGTATGATTTCTCATGTGTTGTACTAATTGATATTTCACAGAAAACTCTTTTAGACATTCTGAACAATGATATGGTTTCTCTCCAGTATGAATTCTCATGTGTTTTACTAAAGTAGATTTACCTGAAAATTCCTTTAGACACACTGAACATTGATGTGGTCTCTCTCCAGTATGAATTCTCATGTGCAGTGCTAAACTAGATTTTTGTGAAAACTCGCTCAGACACTCTGAACATTGATGTGGTTTTTCTCCAGTATGAATTCTCATGTGCTGTACTAAATTAGATTTTTGTGAAAATTCTTTTAGACACTCTGAACATTGATATGGTTTCTCTGCAGTATGAATTCTCATGTGTTGTACTAAACTGGATTTACCTGAGAAATCATTTACACACTCTGAACATTGATGTGGTTTTTCTCCAGTATGAATTCTCATGTGCTGTACTAAATTAGATTTTTGTAAAAATTCTTTTAGACACTCTGAACATTGATATGGTTTCTCTCCAGAATGAATTCTCATGTGCTTTACTAAATTTGATTTTTGTGAAAATTCTTTTAGACACTCCAAACACTGATATGGTTTCTCTTCAGTATGAATTCTAATGTGCTGCACTAAATGAGATTTACGGAAAACTCTTTTAGACACACTGAACATTTATATAGTTTCTCTCTACAATGAATTCTCATGTGCTGTACTAAATAAGATTTGACTGAAAACTCTTTCAGACACTCTGAACATTGATATTGTTTCTCTCTGGTATGAATTTTCATATGTCTCATTAAATATTTTTTTTTTTTAAATTCTTTCAAACACATTAAACACTGAACAGGTTTTTTGTCTTCATTAACTGTTATCAATGATACACACTGAGATTTTTGTGAGGAATGTGAATTGATATAGTTTTGTCTTCTGCATCAACTGTTGTATGTGTTGCTTCAACACATTCTTTTTCTAGTATGTTAGACATAGTGAATAATAACTTAACACTTCACTATCAGGACCCCAAATTAAAAGTGCTGACAGTGTCCCGGATTTTTCCATGAAAAAAAAAAAAAGTAATTTTTTCTTCAAAATGGTAGAGAATCTTTTTCTTAAGGTAATAACATAAAAAAAACATGAAATTTCATGCAAACTTATGCAATTACAGAGGCACAAAGTTGACAATCTGAGTACAATTTATGTATTAGCAATTTTACCCAATTCTACTGCTCATTCTGAACAATGTTTTAACTTTCTCGCTTTAGTAAATTAATCCTTCACTCTATTTTGAATCCATCATTGCACACAAAATTATTTCTCAGATAACAAAAAATAACCATTAACAATTCTCATGGTTTAGGGCATCCAATTATTGAAACAGAACTAGTAACAACCCATAAAAAAAATAAAAGGGGAAGAAGAGGCCTTTCCCTCTTTCAAGAAAATTTTTCAAATTTGAATATTTTAAATACTTCTCATCTTGAAATCGACCAAATTAGCCATTTCAGTAGTATGACATTAACCTAATCAACTGATACCATGAAAAAATCATAAAAAAACATCCTGGAAAACACCTCAAAGTCGTTATTTTCAACCAAACATTTTTTCTCTCATCATGCCCTGCGTGGGTTAGAATTTCTTTTATGTTGTGTACACTCAATGCATAAACAAAAATATTAACTAATCACAGCATAGGTAAGGGTGCTGTGCTTAAATCATAAATGTACATGAGTGATACTGAGGTCAATAATGCAGATTTACATGAGCGACAATGGGATTAAGAACAAAGATCTTAATTAGAGACATAGGAGTCAACAATGTAGATCAATGAGTAAGTAATCTTATACAGTAGGGTCCCACTTTATGGCATTTCACTAACAGAGACATTTCAAACCATACCACAGACGGGGATAGAACCCGCGATCAGAGAGTCTCAAAACTCCAGACCAAAACTTGTTATACAGCTCCCTCATCCATCCCACCTGACTCGCTAATACAGTCTCCACACGCCACTCTTGTTTGCTTATATTCTCTGTGAGCTCCGCGTCTCTCCATTATATCTGGAAACTTTTCAAAATTTCAAGTACTGTATTTTAAAATTATTGTATATTTATATATACTCTGATAATTATAATTATGTGTATACCTTCTTCTTTCTTTCAACAAACTGGCCATATCCCACCAAGGCAGGGTGGCCCAAAAAGAAAAACAAAAGTTTCTCTTTTTACTTTAGTAATGTATATAGGAGAAAGGGATACTAGTCCGTTGCTCCCACCTCTTACGACATGCATGGCTTATGGAGGAAGAATTCTTTGTGTGTAACTATACCGAAATAAACTTACACACTGTGCTAGCATGCAGGTACACATTAAAATTGCTAAGAGTGTCTTATTAGTCTGGATGATGCCACAGTATTATTATTATTATTATTATTATTATTATTATTATTATTATTATTATTATTAATAGTCATTATGGAGCATTTTAAATGTCGTATATTATGTTAACGGCATTTTCCTTAATCCATCTATGATGTTTATTTCAAAATTATATAGGAAACATGTTACATAACATATAAATGATACATACACCCACAGTAGAATAAATTTGATAAATATGAAATGTAGTAGCTGGGCAGCTTGTTGGGAGTGATGGCAAGAATTATGTTTTTTCTAGGCCAACTCCAACACCACTCGCAACTATTTATTTATTCATTCTATTGCACTAATGTGAAGACAACTTGTACACAATGTAAGCATTTGTAGTGTAGGGTAAATGCTTCACCAACTCATGCAAATGTACTTGTCTGAACCAAAAACAGACAGGTATTAATATGCATCTGACAAGAATGTTTGTTTACAGTTGTCAGCATCTCCATATCTCTCACAGGAGCTCCCACACCTGACTTTCTACAATAAATACACACCTCTCACCCTACATTAAGACTACACATATTTTAAGGCAAGTAATGAGTGTAATGTGTATGTATTTTATTTTATATTATTTTTAATGCCTCATTATACTGTTACCTTAATATATGTTAGTACAAACTTGTTTTCTGGCATTTATATGCATTTATTAGTGAACAAAATGGCAGTCAGTTTTACAGCGTTTTCCGCTTTATGGCATTAACCTAACCTAACTTCTATAATACTCTTATCATTAGTGTCATAAACATGATCAACCACTAAACCAGGAAGGTTTAAACATTGCTTGAGGAATAGGATGGATGTTTACATTAGTGGGAGGATATTTCCAATTCCTTGGATCAAAAAAGCAGTTAATCACATACCTTGGAGGATTCTCTAACACTCTTCAGGAATTTCCATGTTTTGCAACAACAAAAATTATGAATAAGTTCACAGTACAATCAGAGATAATGTTGTTAACACAATGATAATAATGTTGTTAAGAACACAATGATAATAATGTTGTTAAGAACACAATGATAATAATGTTGTTAAGAACACAATGATAATAATGTTGTTAAGAACACAATGATAATAATGTTGTTAAGAACACAATGATAATAATGTTGTTAAGAACACAATGATAATAATGTTGTTAAGAACACAATGATAATAATGTTGTTAAGAACACAATGATAATAATGTTGTTAAGAACACAGTAGTAAATTAAAAGTTGATGTTTAATGTTAGGATGTTCGGTTGATGCTTAACAGTATTAAGAACAAATTCATAACACTGATGTTCATATTGTACATGTTATATTACTAACACTGTAGTAACACAGTGTTGTCATTATATATTACCAACACTGTAGTAACACAGTGTTGTCACTGTATATTACCAACACTGTAGTAACACAGTGTTGTCACTATATATATTACCAACACTGTAGTAACACAGTGTTGTCACTTATATATTACCAACACTGTAGTAACACAGTGTTGTCATTATATATTACCAACACTGTAGTAACACAGTGTTGTCACTGTATATTACCAACACTGTAGTAACACAGTGTTGTCACTGTATATTACCAACACTGTAGTAACACAGTGTTGTCACTATATATTACCAACACTGTAGTAACACAGTGTTGTCACTATATATTACCAACACTGTAGTAACACAGTGTTGTCACTATATATTACCAACACTGTAGTAACACAGTGTTGTCACTGTTATTACCAACACTGTAGTAACACAGTGTTGTCACTATATATTACCAACACTGTAGTAACACAGTGTTGTCACTATATATTACCAACACTGTAGTAACACAGTGTTGTCACTGTATATTACCAAACACTGTAGTAACACAGTGTTGTCACTTTTATATTACCAACACTGTAGTAACACAGTGTTGTCACTATATATTACCAACACTGTAGTAACACAGTGTTGTCACTATGTATTACTAACACTGTAGTAACACAGTGTTGTCACTATATATTAACAACACTGTAGTAACACAGTGTTGTCACTGTATATTACTAACACTGTAGTAACAGTGTTGTCACTATATATTACCAACACTGTAGTAACAGAGTGTTGTCACTATACATATCAGTATTTGACAATAACAAAAGCCTAATGTTACTGAAAACTGACACTACAACTGTAATTCCTCTGCTACCAGGATGACCAACAGTATTGGTACTACAAGTACCAATCTGTGCTACCAGGATGACCAGAAGTATTGGTACTAAAAATACCAACTCCAGCTACCAGGATGACCAGCAGTATTGGTACTACAAGTACCAACCTGTGCTACCAGGATGACCAGAAGTATTGGTACTAAAAATACCAACTCCTGCTACAAGGATGACTAGCAGTACTGGTACTACAAGTACCAACTTCTGCTACCAGGATGACCAGCAGTACTGGAACTACAAGTACCAACTTCTGCTACCAGGATGACCAGCAGTATTGGTACTACAAGTACCAACCTCTGCTACCAGGATGACCAGCAGTACTGGTATTACAATTACCAACCTCTGCTACCAGGATGACCAGCAGTATTGGTACTACAAGTACCAACTTCTGTTACCAGAATGACCAGCAGTGCTGGTACTACAAGTACCAACCTCTGCCACCAGGATGACCTGCAGTATTAGTACTACAAGTACCAACCTCTGCCACCAGGATAACCTGCAGTATTAGTACTACAAGTACCAACCTCTGCTACCAGGATGACTAGCAGTATTGGTACTTCAAGTACTAACCTCTGCTACCAAGATGACCTGCAGTATTGGTACTACAAGTACTAACCTCTGCTACCAAGATGACCTCCAGTATTGGTACTACAAGTACCAATTTCTGTTACTAGAGTGACTAGCAGTACTGGTACTACAAGTACCAACCTCTGCTACCAGGATGACCAGCAGTATTGGTACAAAGAGTACCAACCTCTGCTACTACGACAACAAGCAGTATTGGTACTACAAGTACCAACCTCTGCTACCAGGATGACCTACAGTATTGGTACTACAAGTACAACCTCTGCTACCAGGATGACCTACAGTATTGGTACTACAAGTACCAACCTCTGCTACCAAGACAACCAGCAGTTTGTAGCACCAACCTCAGCTACCAGGATGAGCAGCAGTACTGGTACTACAAGTACCAACCTCTGCTACCAAGATGGCCAGCAGTACTGGTACTACAAGTACCAGCCTCTGCTACCAGGATGACCTGCAAAAAAAAAAAAAAAAACCATTATAATATCTTTTTAAACTTTTACATCAAGAATATTAAAAATTTTTATGTTCACTATAAATATCTTATGTAATACATGTGGTACAGCGGACCCTTCCTTTTTGTCTTTCATTCTTTCCAGAGCCCAACGAAATGTGAAATCGACTAAAACTGAAACCATTTTCACCATAAGAAATAATGAAAATCC